CAGGCAATTACGCAATTATCTCAAGAGGCGGCGTCCCTCAATTATAACAGCGGCGACGACTAAGGCAATCTATCCAATCTATAACAGATCCTAACGTTCCGGATCAGCGACATGCCCGGTAGCGAAACTTCAGCGCCCATCATTCCCGTGTGTAACCACGTCTCGGTGATGCTAAGGACATCATATGACCCGGAAGCTTGGTGATGTTTAACTTCGACTAGTTTCTTAAAAAGACCCTGGGCATTCGTATCCAAGCAAGCTAGTTTCTCGGTCTCCGGGAACCCACAGAGGGAGGAAAATGTCAAGTGTGGGAGAATGCCAACCGATGGGATGTCGGCAGTTACTCGCTTTTTTATGGGATAATGATGTCACGTATGAAACTTGATTCGGCCAAGGTATGTCCAAACCTTCGTTTAAACCTACGTCAGAGTCAATTAAAGAAGCAGTCAAGTATGACGAATGAAATTCCTTCAGTGTAGCCCATCATGCCTGAATTCGAGACACGAGTGCGAATAGGTACCCACCAAATCGTACGCGATCTGCGCCACCCCCAACCTTCTCTGGTAACTCATATCGTAAACTAGTCTGAAATGTCATTGGTTGATTTGGTATTGGTCACCTAATGAGGGGCACACTTTGGTGCGTTCGCGCCAGGTACATGATATGTGATTGCCTTGAGGAGGATTCTGAAAGATGTGTGGATGAAAGCTATTTCCTTAAGACTGCGTTTGAAAGCGTTATGGATGCAATTAACTGAGAAAAGGTGTACAGCGAAATGCATATTCTATAAATACCGGTTTGCCTCTTCTTCGCCCGACTCCATTGATTCCCAAATGCTTAGCAGGGGCATAAAATTACGTTTTCAAATAACTCGAATTTTCCGCCTAGGGTTAAATCTAGGCTTACCAAGGCGAAAATTTGTCTGTTTTCATTTTATTACTTTTCCATTTGTTCTACGTTACTAATCAGCTTCCGTTATTTCCTGGAGGTTACACGTCAGGTATGCGCTGAGGTTTACCGTACTCAGCGAAATCTAGTTTGATCACAATTTCTATTCTTTTCGATTGGCTTCACTTGATGGAACGACCTGAAAAGCTTTGTGGAGCTGCACTGTTTATAAATACTTCGAAAGCACTGCCGAGAACAAACGTTTATTTATATTTATTTATTTACTTCTCTTCGAACGGAAAAGACAACCGCCAGGTCACATCTCATTCTAGCGAATTATATAACAGTTACTTATCGTAGTCTTCACTCTATTTCCTTATTATTTTTCTGTCCATGGTTGGTCACCAATTGGCCGATCTCCTCAGTTGATGGATTGAAACTTGCAGGAAAAATAATTACAACCACACAAGGCCAATTGCCAGACCCACTGGCGAAAAGGTCGCTGGACTCAAAAAACGGGTCTATACGTTGACGGGCTATAAAATATAACAGTGGCCATAAAAAAGAATCTTTATGGTGACGACCTATTGTTTACAACATCAGCCAGAGAAAAGCACTCAACATAATGACGGATTATTTGTGTGCAATCCACATAAAGACATGGCCAGATGAAACACGAAAGTGCGGATGAAACTTTTTTGAGGGACAACCCCGCATGGAAGCAGGTTCCCAGGAGACGATTCCGCGGAGGGTCGTGTTACTCTACTTGAAGATCTGGTTATGTCTACCTTTATTTCTACCGTCTACTTTACACAAGTGAACACCGTAAAAGTCTCTCTGGGACTTATTATGTAAAACTCAAAAGCCATTCTCTACCGTCCGATTACGCTGCACCTAATGACCAAAGCAGTTAGACTGTGTCTCGCACCGTCCAGAAATAAAGCACTTATCGATTTATTGATTTCACGATTTACTGTACAATGAACACATAGCTCCGAAAATGCGACCTCCATTAAGCAACAGAATGAGCGGATAAAAAGGCAACGCTCCAAGTGTGGATTTTGACTGAGAGTGGAGTTCTCATTGCGATAGCTTATTGCAATCCATTCGCTGAAAGGTTGTTCCGAAGATGTATCTAAAAAGTCACTGTGACCTGCACCACTTGCTATTCTGCGGTTTCTTGCTGACAACGTCGGTCAACAAGCCCCATACTACGGGTGAGGCGCCCCTTTGGCTACCTCTGCCGGAACATTACACGCGAGGACGAATCCGGTAGTAAATTTCAACCTTGGAAATTGGCAACACCAAACAGGTTTCTATGAGTTTTACATACCTGTATTAGACAGAGGTTGCTTTCACTTGGTTGTCAGAAACATGGAAGTGTGTTGACTGTAAATAATAAAAGAAATACCTAATCTCGCCATTCTCTACTTACGTGTGGCTGGTTGGCGTGCCAAAGAATCGGAAGACTGTTTGGACTGGGGAATGCTTCGCAACGGTGGCGGTCTCAATTCCTCATCGTCATCATGGGAATCCCCCAAGTCATCGTCATCGTCTTCATATGCTTCGTCCTTTTCTTCTCCGGTTCCTCGACGACCCGGTTCACGGGGATAGTGGCGGACAGCAGGTTGGGGCTCAAGCGATGGAGGTGATTTTCTCGAACGGTGATCGGTTCTACGGCCATTCTCATCACGTCTGTGCTTCGGAACATTATTCGCTGGAGGTTGAACTGGTTCATCTACTGTAACCCTCGGATCATAAGTGCTCCGCTCGTTCGAGCGGTCACTCAGTTCGTGAGGCCACTGACCATAATCCTCCACCCCCACTTCCCCATTCGGGCGGCGAAAAGCGGGCCAATTAACGTATTCATCATCTTCATCTGCAATAAATGGTTTAAGGTGAAAGGTAATGAGTCTGGTGCTGATAACAGCCATCCCGATGTTACTGCAGATCTCAGGCTACAGGAAACGAAAGCTCCAAGTGGACATTAAGTGGGGAATCGGTAAGGAAAGAACTAGATCTAACGGACAAATGTGTCTCTTGTGACTTACGCAAACTATTCTGTAATGAAGTAAAACCTAGGTACCGGTTCGTCACCAGGTTAGTACAACCACAAATTGAAGGACTAGTACAGACATGTGAGAATTAAACGCCGTGAACCACTATGTCGCAGGCCAGAGAGTGTCTCCGTAGTAATGCAACAAGAAAGATGTCGTCGAGCCTAGCCTAAAATGTCATTGTCATTTTTTCTCTTTCCCCTCCCATTCATTTTTGGTGTCGTTAGAGTAGCCATCTCCTGTGCGTTTTCACTTCATCCTTCCAGCCACCTCAGGCTTGGTCTTTCATTGGCAACGGTGACAACGCCGTCCAGCTGGCCACGAAGTATAATCCAGGATCATCGTCCAGGCAGGTTGTGATAAAGCTGTCCAGCCACCTAAGAAGTATCCGTTTTGTACTTCAGTCCCCTTCATTCTATTACTCGGCCCGTGCGCCCTGTACACGGAAGCCATCAGAACCCTTGACCGGACGCATACTACAAGTGGATTGAGGTGCATAATCGATCCGGCTAAGTGGCTAGTCCGGTTAAGGTTAAATCGGGGAAATTGGCGTGATCGCAATCGTTAATTAGGCTCGTTGAGTAAATTCGCTGACAAACCACCAGGAGGAGGAACCAATTGCTCGTGATCCCAGTAAGTACGTGGTGGGTTTATCGAACGCACAACTTGATCCGTTTCAATTAAAAGCATTATCCCTTGGGGTCAGTTACAAAGTCCCCGTTGAAAGTTGAACGGCTTGTTTATAGGAGCCCAATTTGAGAACTGTTTTGACCCGTTTAAGGAGCTCCAACCAACCAGCCCTGATAAGCTTATTTGGCCCCGAAACAAATTAACCGATATGGCCCATGAGGTGAAAACCGTCCCAGTTAATGAAAAATGTGCCATCACAGCTCGACAGTTTCAGGCGTTATGTGAACAACGAGCTAAGAACCTAGTCGTAATGAAACCAGATAAAGATTCAGTAGTGGTGAGCATGAACAGAACCGAATACAGTGAGAAGATGTGCGCCATATTCAACGATGTGTGTAAATTCGAACGGCTCACGAAAGTGGGGGACATAACCAATGTCGGAACGTGTATAATTCGTCAACTGGAATTGCTTCTCATCCACCGCGTGATAGACTCTGATACATTTAATAGTTTGAAGCCGAGTGGTAGCACCATCCCAAGTTGTTTGGGCCCCCAAATACACATAAGAGTGAAGTACCACTCAGGCTAATCCTTCCAATGATGAACGTGCCAAAGCATAAACTCTCTGGTTGGTTAGTGAAGTTGCTATCTCCGCTGAAACAACAATTCAATCCGTACAATCTTAAAGACTCTTTCCCACTCATGGGCGACCTGGTTGAACTCAATCTCCCAGACAAAGCCGTATGGTCTTTGATGTAGAATCCTTATTTACCAACGTGCCGCTACATCAGACAATTGATTACGTGTGCGAATTAGCTGAAAACTGTGGCTGTTCCCTACCAATTCTGACTGAATTGCTAAATCTCTGCTATTGTGCACGGAGAATGTGAAGGTTCAATTCCGGAAGACACCATACCGTCAAATTGACAGCCTAACAATGGGTTGCTCATTAGGTCCTGTGCTCGTTGATTTCTTCATGCTGGTGGTAGAAAGAAGCATTTCTACTGAATGGCTCAGGTGCCCTACTACAAAAGATGTGTTGATGATATCTTAGCTTTCTGTTCGTCGGAGCAGCAGCGCACATTTGGTATAAAGGCTCAATGGTGCTCACGCTAACTTACGGGTTACATGTGAAGTAGACAGAACAATTGTCTGTCATATCTGGACATACTCTTAAGTCGCAGAGATGATTGATTGATTAAAAGGTCCACTTACCGAAAATCAACTTGGTCCGGTCAGTACCCGCACTTCACCAGCTTCACACCAGTGCGGTACAAACGGACACTTGTGAAGACCCTAGTTAGTCGTGCCAGACGAATTTGTTCTGCCGACGGTCTGCATGATGAGCTAGTGTTAATTACAGCAACACTAATAGCGAACGGCTACCCTCGAAGATTTATCGAGAAACACAGCCAACCGTGAGGGCCAAACGACTTGGTGCACACTACAGCCATGCAGAAAGTGTATATCGAGTTGCTTTTCAAAGGTGACTTAGCCACGATGAAGACAACTAAGCGTATAATTTCGCCTACACTAGGAAGTCAGTTTGCTGTGTAAGTCGTCGCCATCAGCCGAACCCGAAATTTGCCCATACCTCCAACAAAGGAAGCCCAGCCTATTGGGCCAACTCACACTGTGTATACAAATTTGTATGTGACTGCGGAAACAGTTACCTAGGCAGAACGCTGACTTCCCGAATAAAGGAACATTTACCAAAATTGGTTCAACGTGAAGTTGCTCAGATTGCCTACCCTCGTCAGATTTCATGTTTGCGCAGACCGCCGGCTTTCTCGATAGGCGAACACCTATTAGACTCAGTTCCCTGGATAGAGCTGGGCTCGGCGTTTAAATTTGTGTTACGTCACACTAATCCCCGCTTACTTCGGTTTGCTGAGGCTGTCGCTATAAGCCGGATGAAACCAGCCTTGTTTGTTCAAAAATAATTATTTGTCATCCTAAAGCTGCCTTGGATGTAGATGTGCACTTGCGTCATTCGTTCTGCACCTTAAGCTTGTCTAGTTGCACCCACTGTTAGCTATATCTATGCATATCGGTTATAGTTAATGGTATTGCTGAGACAATACGAAATGCATGCATCTACCAGCCTTCGTCATTTTTCTGTGCTTTTCAAATTGTTAAAGGGAACTAACTTTAATATTCTGACGGTATATGGTCAAGACAGACGGAGGGCCTGAATGAATTACGTTCGTGAGTGGTCAACGAGGAATCTACAGTGTAATACCGCTAAGAACAAGGTGATCAAACTGCGTCGTCAGCCTGTGTGCGCTTACAAGCTGGAAGACCACAATTCACAGAGACATCTCAGGAGCTTGACCATGAGATACTGGTTCAGGACGATCTCGGTTTCTCGAAACAGTCAGAAATGTCATCGACAACAGGTAATCAGCATATCTGCCTATTTTGCAGAGCGTCAGATCCGTTCGACTTCTTAATCTTCTCACAATTGGTTAAAGCCTACGTACTACTGCACATGCGATATGCCATCCGTTGTATGGAGCGCGGGGTACAAACACGATATCGCTACACTTGAGGCTCTTCAGTGAAGGACATCCAAGAATGTTAACATCCTCTTTTATCTGGTCTACCAGCTTAGATTGAAGTCCCTGGGAATCTGCAGCAGTAGATATTGGCACTTACAGGTGACTTCCTAACGTTGTACCCGATTCTGAACAACCCAAAACACATCTGTTGTCCGCTGCTTAAGCTGAACCACAACATCAACCTAAGAGGTCATTCTTTGAAGCTGACAATATACTATGGCCGGCTGGAATGCTGTGGAAATTTATCCTCACTTCGAGTGTGTCAACCGTGGAACGCTCTTCAAACTTATTTTGTCTTTGCCCCTAGCCTAAAAATATTTTAAAAACGACATGACGATACATTTCATCCTATAACTTATGTCAGCAGAAGTCTGCATAAGGCAACCACACGGTGTTCTCAAAGTACTGGACAGTTGGGTATATATATTTTTGACATGTGCACATCTCGGCCATTTAACACACTTCCTAATGAGAATGCTAGGGTTAGTCCATCAATAACGTTTCGTTTTATGAGGTTCTGTTTTCTAAACTTTGTCCATTCCACGAGACTTGTTATGCATTGCTTTTTACCTGTAATCCATCATTAATCTATTGTTCTGTTGGATGTCTTTAGTGCGCTTAGGTTCGGGTTTTCGAGTCGAACAGCTATCACCTCTACTTCCCAAAGAGGGCCACATCTGACCACTCATGTGTGGCGCCCGGTTACGCAGTACATAGGCTGGAGGGTATTGTGCAGTTGATTTGGTGACTAGACTCCACTAAATGCGATGACCCTACACTAGTTGCGGTTATTTTTACCGGAAATCTTAAGTACAGTCACCACAATTTATCCAACAGGAGCAATAGAAATTGTACACCCATGATAAACTTAGTAACCGTGGTATCTTCGAGCTATTGCTGCGCAATTTGTACTGAAGTGCAAATTGCACACAAACGGGCACAAAAACCCTGGTTCAGACCTAGGCCTAGTGATTTAAACTAAAGCTATGGGACTGAGAGTCGGACTGTCGCCTGAAAGCGCGAAAAGCTGCTACCAAGTCACTACTGTAGTCCCAGAAAAGGAAACAACATTTGTTGAGTAGGTATGGTGAGATGAGTGGATAAGTACACAAGATGAGGATGTGTTAACGCTAAAAAGTTGGGCTTTGCGCAACCTTTATGGTATCACGACTCAAGATTTTCAAACGTGCTTCACGCCCATTCCCCCGTCTTGTTTGCAGCTTGTTTCTCAAACGTCTACTCCGGGCGTTGGATCCAGTTCACGGCATCATTTACGACTTGAATTCATACTATTTAATGTAAACTGCTGGCACTGATTATTTGCCCATCAGAGAAATGGTGCTAACGATCACTGCATATAGGCATGACACAAGGGAAAGATTTCTCTGCCGAACGCGGGGTTGGAAGGCAAGCATTGTGGCCTTAGAGGCTATTGTCGACGAACCAGTAGCCAAGCGAATCAAACCTGATAGACGCAGAAACCGGAACACTTTTAGACCGATTCTGCATCAGATATTACTTTCTTTTGCAGAAATATCGGCTAGAATGGTAAACATCATACGAACTAAGATTCACAAAAGGAATTGGGCACACGTTCCACCGTAATATAGGCTAGTCTGTTACCGCAGCATGTGTAAATGGAAGGATATATATATATATATATATATATATATATATATATTTATATTTATAGATATTTATATATATATATATATATATATATATAGCAAAGCAGTGCTCCGAACTTATTTTAATGATGGTTCTTCATTTGCTGCCTTAGCAGTGTTCTTGCACTACAGTTCGTTTGTCTCAGTAATTATGATGTTAGCAAAAGTACAATGCTGAAGACAAGTGCCTGATTGTGCCGCCACTTATCAGTTTTTAAGGTTACATACAAATATGATTAGAGCTGGAGGTCGTCCTTTCGTTGACACATTATGCAACATTAAGTACCGAGTCAGGGTGTACACCACAATTAACCAATGTTCTGGATTGATGTCATACTAGATTATCGCCTATATGGTGTGTAAAACCTTGTAATTTGCTTGGTACGTATATAGGTAACTTAGGGCTCTAGCTCTTTTGGGAGCTTCGGCGGGCTCTTATGCATTCTAAACAGTCTGTGTGTATGTGCGTACTTTGTCCCTTAATTATTTGTAGCGTTTGGTCCTAAGTGCGCAAAACCTCCTGGGTATCCCTTTGTGCCAAGTTCTAATGGATCCACATTACTTGTGCCAATGGGGTTTCCAGGTGCTTTCATACGGACGTTATTTGCAGATTTCCTTGGTTACATTTGGTTATAGAGCTCAGAATAACTGATGAAAGAGGAAAGCGCACTTGTTGACGGTAGGTCAACCCTGTTTCAGTCTATCGGCGCATATAGTCATAGCCAGTGCTTCGGGTCATGCAGATAAAACCCTTTCCTTGGTAGTTGCTGTTTTATACCGAGGCCGTCAGTGTACTCTCGGTTAACTACTCGTAGAAGTTTGCGTGCAGTGGGCAGTCACCAAAGTCAGTCGCAAAGGTGGCTGGATTAAAATGGGCTACTTACCATGAATAACCGTCTGGTGTCGTCGGCCTGAGGATCGACGCTCGCCTTGGTGGCCATTTCGAGCCGGATGCCGACTACGATCAGATGCCTTAGGCGGAGGCGGATGACGTCTTCGATGTCCATGAGCACTCCCTTTATCTGAAAATCGAAATAGCAGAATAAAATCATCTGGTTTGTAACTACAGTGATTCTTTAAGCAGCGAGTCGTGAACACAATGATAGCTATGAAACAATATGTGGTAACATCAGAGCAGCAAACCCATCGTGAATGGAACTCGACGCTAGTAGCAGGGAGCGAATTCGGAGGGCCAATACTAGTTGGAGAATTACACCAGTGGCGTCAATTTACCAGGGAAATCACTGGTCTGTTTGTCTAAATACGGGATATCAGATCTAACTGTTATCGTGTGACAAAGGAAAGCTTGCTGGATTGCAAGGAACAGAAGAACAGTAGATGCTGTATCGTCAGAAGTTGTTAAGCGACTCAAAGTCCTCAATTTGGCAACAGACGAATAGATGCAATGTTCCAACCCGGCTTGTACCATATTTGATATAATGGATAAAATGGCTTGCGAGCAGACTCCGGACACTTTAGTGGTTACTATAAAATAGTTTAGCCCTAATTTATTCACCTCTGACTTAGTGACTCTCAATTACTTCACAGTTTATTATTATGCACCTGAAACTCGAAATAAGCCACATCGCCTAACCGTACCCTTTCTCAGTCCAGTGCATCCATAGGGCTTTCAGATTCCTCCCTAAGCCAATCATGTTCCTCCATAAATTGCTCAAGCTAATCCTTTTCCAGTATCAGGTTTCATCCAAAGGGGCGCGAACTGCCCTATTTGTGTACTGTTTTTGCGCGGCCAACCATCGCGAAGTAGTCACTGGTACATCAAACGAGTACACAGAATGGAACGGTACCAGCTGTGTTGGAATTTCTCACGAAACGAACATTGCGTATTTTAAGGGCGTTCGCGCCCGCTGGATGCAATTTGATAATTATAAGGACCATCTTCAGAGATCTATGGAAGAAAATGTTTTCCTTAAGGTGGAGTTTGAAGTGCTTGCAGGTGCAATGGACGGAGAAAAGGTATGGTCTGCGAAGCCGACCAATGATGGCAAAGACCCCTCAGAAAGAAGATCCAAATCCAGAGTATGACCTTGACATTGAGTGGTTAAGCAACGCACTTGTCTGGCTGGGGAGCTGTTTCGCGATAGACCCATCGCAGTCTACGGACAGCTGTTGGGACATCATCGTCACATGCTGGCACTGCTTGCTGCATTGAGGAAGCTGGGAACGGGTCACCTAGCCAAGTATCGTTTTCCGGCTTCCATATTCACCACTTCGCTGAGGTACGTAGCTAGTGCACAGCTGGTCTACCTTCTGTATGGGCGGAATGCGGCGTAAACATGGTCGAGCGATTTAAGAACCACAAAATGAAACCGTTCGTTGTACCAAGGTTTATGAATGGCACACGATTTTAATAGTTAATCATAGCTTTCCAAAAGCGCTATGCTTGATCTGATCATCTTCCTACCATTTTCCCTCATAGGTTTGCCACTAGAGCAGGAAGAACGTCTGTCAGCTGCTGAGCAAAGTAAAGCAAGTGACGCAAAAGGGTTGCGACTGCGGGGAATACCATCATTATCTGAAAGGACTGCTTACGGTGACGTCATCTCGAACTCTAACGAGATGCATTTTGTTGTATGGATTTTTTGCTGCATAGTAGCCGACTGGTAGCTATTCGGCACGATACCCATCCGTTACTGATAGCTCAGCTGGCATGCATTTGTTGCACGCTTTTTATCTTTTTCCATTTATGTATTGCGGCACAGTAGCTGTGGTGTTTCCTCCTCCAACTAACGTGTATAATCATTATGATGTTTCGCCAATCGCCCATGCGCTGGCCTCGTACCTTTTGATAACGTACTGAAACCCGAAAATCAACTTCGAACTGCTTGCGCAGCTCAATAGCCTAGTGATCATGGCGATAGCCGCCAAGCACTATGCGCTGAGTTCCACTCCTAGCTCAGCTATCTCTACCTGATGAGTCTAAAC